AGACGCACCAGGGGTCCGATGGCCGAAAGCCAGCAGGAGCAAGAGGACGCGCAGGAGGGCTTCGGTCGCGGTCATCGCGGGGCGGCCGGGGTCGCGGTCCCGGGAGCGGCGCAGGCGCGGGTCCAGCTCCGGGCGCCGCGCTGGGCTTCTGATTGCGGACGCGGAAAGGGGCACGGGCGTGTGGCGAGGGGAAAGCCAGGGCTGCACCGGGCTGCGCTATGCGCTCTCTGCCGTCGCGTCTTAGTAGCTGCTGCCTCGTCCCGTGCGCCTCCCTTTTCGTACTGCCCCCCCAGGGGCCCCTCGCCCCCCGCCCCCGCCTTCGCGCGCGCACCGGCCGGCGCCGGCCAGTGGGTGCCTGCTGGCTACGGAGGACTGCACAGGTACCCTGCGCGCTGAGCACAGGCTCCCCACACGGGACAGCGCGCGGACGTGCTCAGGACAGGCTGCGGGAGCCGAGCATGCACCGGGCTGCAGAATCCCGGGAGAGCAGACGCATCCGGAACACAGAAGGGCACACAGAAATACCAAACACTCGTTGCCAGGGTCATAAACCGAGAAAAACCCAAACGCACTCTGTGAGGATGTGGGACAGACAGAGCACCACGCAGGCACCCAGGAGGACTCTCAGGAAGAGCCCTATGCCCCCGGGATCCCCAGCCATACAGAGGCAGCAAAGGCAGATGCGCTCGTAGCGGCACATACTGCAACGCAAACGCATGCCACACAGACACTGCCACAGACCCGCGCACAGCTCGCAGCACTGCCGGCTTCCTCAGAGCCACAGGGGGATGGCAGCCGGCCCTGAACCCCTGGGCACCCTTCCACATGCATCGGCCCCTCCACACAGAAGCACACACCTAGACGCATACATACACGTGTAAGCACACATTCATCACACTGCCACCACATCACACCCGTACCCATCAGGGCCTGCGTCACACCAAAACATAAACACACGGGCTGTAACACACACCTAGACAGCCTGCAGCAGGTACTCACAAACACGCGCAGCCGGTCCCCAAACTCACAGCACAGACCCTCGGTTACACACTTAGAAATACATGCACATGCACTCACCCTGCGTACGGGTTCCTCCAGCGTACGCAGGCAAGCACACACTATCTGTCTTTGTCCACCGTGACACGTGGGCAACTTCACCAGTATGCGTGCACACATACACACACACACACACACACACACACACAGTCGTGCACGCTAGGTGCTCAGCACCACTCTAGACCCACCAGAACCTCAGCAGGGGTTGCAGGGGTGTGGGGATGGGAGGTGCTGACCCTGCCAGAGAGCCTTCCCTACCTGAGAGCTGCTAGGAAGAAGTGTCTCCTGAGTCCTCTCCCTCCTGGCCCTCAGCCTCAGCTTAGAGCCCTGCTGGTGGCTAGGAGAGCTTGGCACTCCCGCCTCTCAATCAGAGAGCTCAGGAAGATGGGAGGGAGAGCGCTGGAAGGGGATTGAAGGTGTCTAACCTCCTGGGGGAGGATCAGATCTCTGGATAGGTCATTTGTGTGCACGTAATTTGCATAGGTGAATTTGCATGTAGATCCCAGGTGCAGGGTAGGCGCCCACCAAGCTCACAGCCTCCCCTTCCCCGCAGGGCTAGGGGCGGTGATCTTTGCCACTTGGTGAGGTGGGCTTTGGCCTCCAGCCCACCTCACCAGGCCCTGGCAGGTTTGAGGACACAGGCACTGTCTGGGGGGCTGGGTGTGAGGAGAGGCCAGTGGCAGCCGGGGCACCGGCCTAAGCTAGTACACCCCAAGTCAGTGCCTGGGAGGGGCTCTGGGCAGATCCTCCAGCTGCTCTGTACTGCCTGGGAGGCCGAGGCGGGAGGGAAAATCCACCCCTTGTGGGAATTGTCTTCAAAGACTCAGGCAAGTGAGGGCTATTGAAAATGACGGGAGGAAGCCAGGGCGCCTGCCACCTAGCCTGCGTTTCTGTCACCCCTGCTTCCAGGGACCCTTCTTAAGTCACAAACTGAGTCCACCATGGAAGACCTTCTGCCTAGGCCCCTTGGCAGAAGGGCAGTGCCAGCAGGCCCCAGCCTGGAAGTGCCTCTGTCCGCCTTGCAGCCACCACCGAGGTCTCCTGACCTGCCTACCCTTTTCCTCCCTCCAAGGGCCCTGACCTCAGCCTCCAAAATTATCATCGCACACAGCCAGCAGGCAGCCGGAGAAGGCGGGCTTCTCAGACATAAGCCAAGGAGGGCAGAAGAGCTTAGGGTTGGGCCCTTCCCCCAGACTTCTCCCACCCCCCCGTCCCTTCCCACCCCCACCCCTAGTTTTAGGGAGGGAGGCTTGGGGAGGGCATTCTTGCCCAAAGGAGTGTGTCCAAATGTCGCCAGCTCCCACCAAAAGGGCACTCCCTTGGCTAAGGGGCGCCTGCTCTAATCCTTTCTCCATCCATGCCTGCTGAAGGCCATGGCCAGTCACTTCCTCTCTGAGCTCTGCTTCCTTGTCTAGAAACATGGATGCGGCAGGAGTCCCCAAAGGGGAATAGGCCGGCCCCCCCGGTGGGAGCCCGCCTCTGCCC